AAAAAAAAAAAAAAAAAAAAAAAAAAAAAAAAAAAAAAAGAAACATCAAAAAGTGGGCAAAGAATATAAACAGACACTTCTCAAAAGAAGACATGTATGCAGCCAACAAACATGAAAAAAAAAGCACATCATTGCTGGTCATTAGAGAAATGCAAATCAAAACCGCAAGCCAGTTAGAATGGCAATCATTAAAATGTCAGGAAATAACAGATGCTGGAGAGGATGTGGAGAAAAAGGGAAACTTTTACACTGTTGGTGGGAATGTAAATTAGTTCAGCCATTGTGAAAGACAGTGTGGCAATTTCTCAGGGATCTGGAACTAAAAATACCATTTGACCCAGCAATCCCATTATTGGATATACACCCAAAGGATTATAAATCATTCTACTATAAAGACACATGCACACATATGTTTATTGCAGAACTGTTCACAACAGCAGACTTGGAACCAACGCAAATGCCCATCACTGATAGACTGAATAAAGAAAATGTGGCACATATACACCATGGAATACTATGCAGCCATAAAAAATATGAGTTCATGTCCTTTGCAGGGACATGGATGAAGTTGGAAACCATCATTCCCAGCAAACTAACACAGGAACAGAAAACCAAAGACCACATGTCCTCACTCGTAAGTGGGAGTTGAACAATGAGAACACATGGACACAGGGATGGGAGCATCACATACCAGGGCCTGACAGGTGATGGGGGGTTAGGGAAGGGATAGAGTTAGGAGGAATACCTAATTTAGATAACAGGTTGATGGATGCAGCAAACCATCATGGCACATGCATACATATGTAACAAACATGCACATTCTGCATATGTGCCCCAGAACTTAAAGTATATATATACTGGGATACATTTTATATGTATATATATGATATCTGCACTCCTAAGTAACCAAGATTTGGAATCAACCTGAGTGTCCATCAGCAGATGAATGGACAAAGAAAATGTGGTACACATATACAATAGAGTACTATTCAGCTATAATAAGGAATAAAATTCTGCCATTTGAAACAGCATGGATAGAACAGGAGTTTATTATTTTAAGTGAAATAAGTGAGACAGAAAGGCAAACTTTGCATGTTGTCACTTATTTAAGCAAAAAATTTAAACAAATTCATGGGGATAGAGAACAGAAGGATGGTTAACAGAGGCTGTGAAGGGTAGTGGCAGTGTGGGGGTAAAGTTTTGTGGGTTAATGTACAAAGAATATTTAGAAAGAATAAATAAGACCTAGTATTTCCTAGCACAACTGGGTGACTATAGTTAAAAATAACTTAATTGTAAACTGTTAAATAACTAAGAGAGTGAAATTGGATTGCTTTTGAAACAAGGAATTAATGCTTCAGGTGATGCATTTACCTGTATATCTCATTTACTCTGACGTGATTAATATGCATTGCATACCTGGATCAAAATATTTCATGTAACCTGTAAATATACATAGCTACTGTGGACCTGCAAAAATTAAAAATAAAAGAGAAAAAGAAACTATATATATATACACACACATATATAAGAAAAAATGGTAACATTATCTCTAGGTGCAAATGACACGATCCTATATGTAGAAACAAAAACAAAAAAAATCTCAGAAATAATAAAATAGTAAAGTTATAGAATACAAAATTAACATACAAAAGTCAGCAGCACTTTTATACACAAATAATGAGCTAACTGAAAAAGAAATTTTTAAAAATCTCATTTATAGTATCATCATAAAACTAGGAATAAATTTAACCAAGATAATGTTTCCAGTTTTTGATTGTTATGAATAATGTTAAATTGAACATTTTGTACAGGTTTTTATTTAGACATGTACTTTTACTTCTCTTTGGCAAATATCTAGGAGTAAAATCCTTGGGTCATATGGTAACTCTGTGTTAAATTTTCTGTTTCTATATTTTCTATTTTAATTATTCTTGCTCTAATCTTTATTATTATTTGATTTTTTCTTTTTTAAATATAAAGTATTACAGCTATGATGTCCTCTCTCCCTTCCTTCCTTCTCTCCTTGCTTTCCTCCCTCCCTCTCTCTCTTCCTCCCTCCATCCCTTCCTCCCTCCCTCCCTCCCTTTTCTTCCTTCCTTCCTTCCTTCCTTCCTTCCTTCCTTCCTTCCTTCCTTCCTTCCTTCCTTCCTTCCCTTCTTCTCATCTTCCTTCCCACCTTCTTTCCCACCTTCCTTCCTGTCTTTTTTTTTTTTTTTTTATCTCCTGAGTCGCCTTAGTGGACTCACCTCACACTTTTCAGTCACACCCATAATTTATTAATTGACTGATAAGCACATGGCTCACTATCAACAGTTATTTACCCTAACCTGCAAAACCCTGCATGGCCAAGCATGGTGGCATGTGCCTTTAGTCTCAGCTACTCAGAAGGGTGAGGCAGGAGGATTGCTTGAGCCCAGAAATTTTTGACCAGCTGGGGCAATATTAGTAAGAACTCATCTCCAAAAACAAACAAAACCCCACATGGCTTAGCCTCTGCCTATCTCTCCAACCCCATCTTTTCCTATTCACCCTTTTACTGTGTCACAACCACACTGGACTTCTTTTGGATTCTTAGACATGGTGGTCTTTTCCTGCTTTAGGGTCTTTGTGCCATCCAGTTTGTTGACCTAGAAGCTTTCTCCAGAATTTTGGTCCCTTATCATTTAGGTTACAGGTTAATAATATCACTTTATCAGAATGATCTTCCCTGATCACTAGTCTTTAGCAGCCCTCCCTTGAGCTCCATCTTCCTACCCAGTCACACATTCTCACATCACACATTTTATTTTTTTTCTAAACACTGATTTTCTGTGTGTGTGTGTGTGTGTGTGTGTGTGTGTTTCCCTAAAATTTGAATGTTAACATCACATAACCAAGGACTTTGTATTATGTGCCACAGAAACCTAAGTACTCAGAGTTGTGCTTGGCACATAGTAGGTATTCAGTTTTTTTTTTTTCCTTTTAGTAGAAACCTGTGTTGTTCAAAGGTATTGTATTTTTTTATTGACTGGATAAATAAAAGAATAGAGGCGTGGACCCCAAGTTGAGGATCTTGTTCCACTTAGTTTCATCTGTATTAATAACATATATGTTGAGGATATGAGTTCCAAAGGCAGTTTTTGACAGAATGAGTTACTAAGAGGAATAATACCTCAAGCCCCGTTACTGTTTCTAGCCGAGCTATTGACCAGTGCAGAGAAGAGAGCAGAAATGCAGAAACAGATTGAAGAGATGGAGAAGAAGCTAAAAGAAATCCAAACTACTCAGCAAGAAAGAACAGGTGATCAGGTAATTTTTCTTTTTCTTTTCTTTTCTTTTTTTTTTTTTTGAGATGGAGTCTTGCTCTGTCACCAGGCTGGTGTGCAGTGGTGTGATCTCAGCTCCCTGCAACCTCTGCCTCTCAGGTTCAAGTGATTCTCCTGCCTCAGCCTCCCAAGTAGCTGGGACTACAGGTGCCTGCCACCACGCCCAGCTAATTTTTGTAGTTTTAGTAGAGACGGGGTTTCACAATGTTAGTCAGGATGGAATTTTTCTTTTTTGAATACACAAAACTAACATTTACTGAAACAAACTTAAACATTATAAAAATATAGAAGGTTAAAGTCCTCCCAACCCCTATTTAGAGTTTCTGCTAGTTTGTTGGCTGTTAGTAGCGGGAAAATTGAATGGGAAAGTAATTTAGCAGGTGACTTAAAATGGAATTTGTGGCATGTGAAATAAGTGGTATAGTCTATTGACTTCTTAGTTATACTCTAAACCGTTATTTGGTTAATTCTAGCTTCAGCTTTTTATTCTAGCTATGCTCCATTAAAATGGGATTGCCTAAAAAAATTTAGCATACGCCTGGCACTCTTCAGTTGAGCTCAACAGTACCGGTTTGTAGTAGGAACATAAATTATTGGAAATAACTTTTATGGCATAGTCATTTATATTGTTAGTGGATGTCTTGGGGAAGAGTACAGTAAAGCTAATGTTAGAGCTTGAAAATAGCATTTTCTGGATGGGAAGGATATTGATTTTGTTTATTTAATGCAAACAGCAAGAACAGAAGATGTCTACAAAGGAGACAGCTAAACTGCGAATTGCTTCCGAGTCCCAGGAAATACCAGGAATGACTCTCTCCAGTTCCGTTTGTCGAGTAAACTCTTGTGCCAGGTAAGATCACATTGGTGGAAGGGACAATGCATATAGGAGGGCATTTAGAACCAATCTTTGACTCTCTAGTGTCCTGAAGTCTCTGACTTTTACGGTATTGAGACATGGTTTTGTAAGTCTCTATCACAACATAAGCTTTGGTGCTGATGAGGGAGGACAGAGCATTGACTATTTCCCATTGAGGAAACATATTTCTTATAGAAACAAATATATATAATGTTTCTAAAAAACGAAACCACCCATTTCTACCACTAAGAGATAACTACTGTTAACACTGTTCTGTCTCTCCTTTTGTGTTGTATTTTTGTTTTGTTTTATAAAAATGGCAGCTTACCATTTTGTAATCTGCTTATACTATTTAATGCAACCTGACATCTATTATCAAATATATTTCTGCAATAGTTTTGATAACCAAAGGTGCTATCTTTTCTAAGAGAATTTGGATTGACAGTAATAGTTTATCTTAAATAGTATATTTAATGGAAAGCCTCTTGGAGATAAACAGTTCTTTCTGTGAGTATTTAGCACATGTTTTAAAACAAGTTTCTTCACAGAGAAACTTCATTTTCGGAGAACATTTGGCAGGAGCAACCTCATTCTGAAGGTGAGTTGTGGTTGACAGCCTCGGGAAGAACTTGCTGATAACAAATGGAACTTGCTGATAACAAATGGATTATGTAATAAAGGGTAAATATTTTTAAATTATGATAAAGGGATTGAAAGAAAGCAGAGAGGTGGGGACTAAGATACTAGGATGTCTTCGAGTCATGGAATTTAGTATAAGCATATGCTTTTAAGAAAAGAAAGACATTTGAAAGAGTATTTATTTAAGACTCCTCAGTGCTTCAAAATATTTGGTTTAATTATAATTCTAAATTTATACTAACTACCAAATCTTATACTTTAGTTACTGTATACTGAGCAGTGAAGACCCTGAGGAAAGTGTTTTGTTTTGTTTTGTTTTGTTTTGTTTTGTTTTGTTTTGTTTTTCAGGGAAAAAAAAGTTTAAAGCTATTTTATATTCAAATTGGTTTTCTTTTCTTTGGAACATGTTAAAAGTGGTGAAACATGAATATCCACTTGTAAGTAGTTTTGCAAAAATAAAAATAAAAAACATTAAAATTAAACCTTTATTTCTAACCGACACTTTGTTGGAAATACAAAGTATGGAGGAACATTGTTAAACAACACAGGGGGATGGAATTGGTAAAATACAGCATTACGGGGCTAGCAACCCAGTTTGTTCAACAAAAATTTCCCCCAAAATCCTATAGAATAAAAAAGATTTAAGAGGCATTTGAACAGTCACAGTATGCGGATCTTAACTCTGCATTCCCTATTCAAAAAAAAATTTTTTTTTAATTGGTAAAATGTGAAACTTCTGATTGGATATTTGATATTCATAAATCGTTCATTTTATAGGTAGGTATGTTTTGGGATTGGGATTTTTAAAAAGCCTCTTTTAGAAATATGTACTGAAATATTTGTAGATAAAATGACATGTCCGGAATTTGCTTTAAAATAATCCTGTTGAGTTGGGTTTGGGGAGTAGTGACTGTGGTAGAGCATCTAAATGAAACAAGATCGTCTATGTTTAGATAATTGTTAAATTGTTTAATGACCTTTTATATGTTTGAAGTTTTTGTGATTAGAAAAAAACAGATTGCCTTCCTTCTTTCAAACAACACAATATATTAATTTATCTGGTTTGTCTTGAAAAGTAAAGCATTTACTCCTAGAGTATATATCTGGTCTCTCTTTCTTTAGGTCGCAGTATACCTTTCTCCATTTTTGATGAGTTTCTTCTTTCAGAAAAGAAGAATAAAAGGTTTGTCTGGTTTTTTTAGTTAGTTTTTTTTTTTTTTTTTTACTTAGGAATTTTCTGTTGTTATAAGTGAGGATAAATTAGGGGTTACTGTTATGAAAAAAGCTCAAGTATGTCTTTTTCCAGTCCTCCTGCAGATCCTCCACGGGTTTTAGCTCAACGAAGACCCCTTGCAGTTCTCAAAACCTCAGAAAGCATCACCTCAAATGAAGATGTGTCTCCAGATGTTTGCGTAAGAGGGAGTATCCTTAAGTTAATGTAAACGGGCTAGTGGATTGTTTATTCAAATCCACAAAAGCTTAAGGTTAAAATTGAAACCACTGACTTGAATTAAGCACATGAAAAGATGCTCAGCATTATTACTCACCAGGGAAATGCAAATCAAAACCACAGTGAGATACTACTTTATATCCACTAGGATTATAATAAAAAATTATGGACAATAACAAGTATTGACAAAGATGTGGAGAGATTATAACATACGTTAAGGTGGGAATGTAAAATGGTGTAGCCTCTTTGGAAAACAGTTTGGCAGCTCCTCAAAATGTTAAACACAGTTAACCATATGATCCTGCAGTTCTCTGCCTAGGTATACACTCAAAATATTGAAAGCACATGCTCACACAAAAAACTTGTACACAAATGTTCATGGCTGCATTACTCATGATACTGGAAACAACCCCAAATGTCCATCAACTGATGAATGGATAAACAAAATGTTGTGTATCCATACAATGAAATATTATTTGGCAATATAAAGAAATGAAGTACTAATACATGTCATGCCATGGATGAACATTGAAAATGTTATTTCAAGTGAATGAAGCCAGATACAAAGACCACATATTATATGATGTCATTTTCATGAAATATCCAGAATAGGCAAATGTATTATGGATTGAGGTTTTCCAAGAGATTAGGGAGAGGGTAGTGGAGAGTGACTGCTAATGGGTATAGGATTTCTTTTTGGAGTGATGAAAGTATTCTGGAGTTAGGTAGTGATGATGGTTGTATAACCTTGTTAATATACTAGAAACCACTGAAATATAGTTTAAAAGAGTAAATTTTATGGTATATGAATTATATCTCAATTTTTATAAGTGGGAAAAAATCACTAACTTGAAAGCATTTTGCACTTTTCTAACCAACATAGTAAAGGACATTTGTTCTGTTTTATATAAAATACCTTTTGTGGCAATGCAAAAGTTATGTGGGCCAATCATTTTTCTTCAGTAATGTTATATATTAACTGCTGTAGACTAGTGACATAATAATACTTAGGGTAAAAAGACCCTGTGTAGGTCTGGCGCAGTGGCTCTTGCCTGTAATCCCAGCACTTTGGGAGGCAGAGGTGGGCAGATCACGAGGTAAAGAGATCGAGACCATCCCGGTCAACATGGTGAAACCCTGTCTCTTCTAAAAAATACAAAAATTAGCTGGGCGTGGTGGTATGTGCCTGTAGTCCCAGCTACTCAGAAGGCAGAGGCAGGAGAATCACTTGAACCTGGGAGAGGCGGAAGTTGCATTGAGCTGAGATGCGCCACTGCACTCCATCCTGGCGACAGACTGAGACTCCGTCTGAAAAAAAAAAGAGCCTGTGTAGACATTTAAGTTAAAATAAGTAACATTTATCTTTGGCATTTTATTAAAGCTTTAAGGAAGAAGAATCATTCTCTTCAAACCAGCATCTGGAACCTTGTCATGAGACTGAAAAGAATTGAATATATTTAATTGGAAGACTTAATGGGTGATGTGAGCAGTAGCTTTAGTGACTTAAAGCATTATTTTCCACATCCCTGGGAATGAAACATTTGGAGGAAGTTTTTTAAAAATACTTTTTCTTTTTAGTTTCTTCTCTATTGAGGTATATTTTATATCTAGTAAACTGCACACAAATACTGTACAGCTAGATGAATTTTTACATGTGTGAATATCCATGGAATTTTTTCCCATATCATGATAATAGAATATTTCCGTCAACTCAGAAGAGACTAGGGAGTCTTTTGTGACTAACAGTGCTTGAGCCCCTTTCCATCTATGTGGCACTGGAATTTCCAGGGAAAAGGTCCAAGCATGTATTTTTGTCTTTTTAAAAATACTTTCCCAGCTAATTCTGATATAGTTAGTCCACTGACTGCTATGAAAATACAGTGATGTAAAAGAGTAATTAATAACATACTGTGTTCTGGAGTATACCACCAGAGAACATGATGAACAGGCTAGATTTGGATGCAGTGGTTCTAGATTCAGCTGTTCAAGGATACACTTAATTGTTAAAGGAGTCCAACTTCATCTACCTTTCTTTTTTATTTTTTTTAACAATCTTTTACTTGACTTTTGTTAATAGGTACCTATCAGATTTTTCATCTCCTAAAAAAATTGTATTTAAAATGTCTAAGTTAATAGGGCCATAAGAAGTATTTGCATAAAATGTAGAGGTTATAAACAGGTATTTTACTTTAATCACTTATAATACATATATATACATTTTTTCCTTATTTCTTTTTCTTTTTTAGACAGGGTCTCTGTCACCTGGGCTAGAGTACAGTAGCATGAGGTCTGCTCACTGCAGCCTCTGCCACCTGGGCTCAAGCAATCTTTCCACCTCAGCCTCCCAATTAGCTGGGACTTTAGGTGTGAGCCACCATGCCTGGCTAATTTTTGTATTTCTTGTAGAGACAGGGTTTCTTCATGTTGCCCAGGCTGGTCTCAAACTCCTGTGCTCAAGTGATCCTCCTGCCTCAGCCTGCTTCCCAAAGTGTTGGGATTACAGGTGTGAGCCAATACACCTGGCCAAATCTTACGATTTTTTTGTTTGTTTGTTTGAGATGGAGTTTCACTCTTGTTGTCCAGCCTGGAGTGAAGTGGCACGATCTCCGCTCACTGCAGCCTCCAGCCCCTGGGTTCAAGCGATTCTCCTGCCTCAGCCTCCTACCCTGCCACCACGCCCAGCTACTTTTTGTGTTTTTAGTATAGATGGAGTTTTGCCATGTTGGCCATGCTGGTCTTGAGTGCCTGACCTCAGGTAATCCACCGACCTCAGCTTCCCAAAGTGCTGGGATTACAGGCACCCACCACCATGCTCAGCTAATCTTTGTGTTTTTAGTAGAGATAGGGTTTCACCATGTTGGCCAGGCTGGTCTTGAGTGCTTGACCTCAGGTGATCCACTCACCTCAGCGTCTCAAAGTGCCACGATAGGCGTGAGCCACCATGCCCAGCCTATAATTTTTTTTCAACTATACTGTGTTTCTTCTAGTTGTAACTCCCACCTTTAGTTACTAAGTCAGAAATTCAAAGTATATGTCAAGTTGGTAATGATCTAGAAAATTAATTTCTAGTATCCATGTGGGTTAAATCAAATAGGCACTATTTTTATACTACAGGTAAATGTGTAAAGTGGTATAATCTCTCTGAGGACAGCTAAGTAATTATATATAAAGAACTTTAATATTTATAAACTTTTGCCCTGATAATTCTACTTTCTGAGGAATTAATCCTAAGAAATTAAAGTGTTTATTATAAAGATTTATGTATAAGGATGTTTAAAGTGGTTTTAAACTAGCAAAAAACAGAATAACCTAAAAGTTGGTTAATTTCTTGTGGACACACAGTGTGACCATTATGTTTATAAAGAACTTTTAATAGCACAGAAAAAAATACAAAAAGTATGAGAAAGAACAATACAGAGTATCATGAATGCTACAGTTACACTGCTTTTAAAACTTCTTTTTAAATGCATAGAATATGTATGCTATGCATGTATAGCAAAAAATGTAAGATTGTTTAGTAGCATTTCAGGTGTTTTTTCCCCCTTTATACTTCATGTTTTCTATATTTTCTGCCATAATCATGAATTATCTTTAAGAAATAAATAAAAATTAGGTATGTAGCATGGAGAAAGAAGATGTAAAAACCAGGAGGATAGCATATTATCAGAATATTTACTAAGTGAAAGCCAGAATAAAAATAGTATTTGTGCTTTAGTTAATAGGTTAAATTTGTTGAGGAACAAAACCATTGCCCAGTATTTTTCCTTGTGTGGAGAATCTTCATGGCACATTTTTTTGGATGAAGTATAGTTTACTGAGTTCATGACCCAAAAACCTTTTACCTCAAATGCTATAATGTGCTTCTTAAAATTATCTTTCCCTAGGTATTCTGACATGCTACTTCTGTACCCTGTGTCACTGAGCTAATGTGTCTCTCTCAGTGAAAAAGATAGGTTCGCCGGGTGCAGTGGCTCACGCCTTTAATCACAGCACATTGGGAGGCTGAGGCGGGTGGATCATGAGGCCAAGAGATCGATACCATCCTGGCCATAGTGAAACTAATAATACAAAAATACTCTACTAAAAATACAAAAATTAGCCTGGTGTGGTAGCATGCGCCTGTGGTCCCAGCTACTTGGGAGGCTGAGGCAGAAGAATCACTTGAACCCAAGAGGCAGAAGTTGCAGTGAGCCGAGATTGCGCCGCTGCACTCCAGCCTGGCGACAGAACAAGACTCCATCTCAAAATAATAATAATAATAAAATGTTTTAAAAAAGATTCTTCGAAATCGAGAGAGATCCAAGATGGCTGATCACTAGCAGCTCGGGATTGCAGCTCCCACTGAAAGAGCAGAGAACGAGAGGGCGCCACACTTTCAGATCAATTTTTGTTGCTCACACACCAGGAGATTCCCAGCGGAGGAGCCCCACGTGTCGCCAGCGTGACTCTTGAGGCCGGTGAGGCGGTTTTGCCGCTGCCTTGGTGCCGCGGTTCTTGGTGCAGAGTCAGAAAAGCACCGTCAATCTTAAAGCCGCTGTTTTGGCCGGAGCAGTGGGTTGCTCAGATTCTAGCACCGGGAATCAACAAGTTGGACGTCCATTCAGAAACCCAACTATAAAGACGGTAATTATAAAGACCACAAATGGATAAATCTATAACGAAGGGAAGAAAACAGCCTAAAAAGGCTGAGAATAACCAAACTCAGAACGCCTCTCCCTCTACAGGGGATCACAGTTCCTCATCAGAAACAGAACAAGGCCTGATGGAGAAAGACTGTGTTCCATTAGCAGAAGCTGGCTTTACAAAGTGGATGATAAGAAACTTCTGGGAATTAAAAGAACTTGTTCTAACCCAATGCAAAGAAACTAAGAACTTTGAA